TTTAGAGCAAAATCTATAGACATGGGCCAAAAGATAACATGACAGTACCCATGAACATAAAGAGAAACCTAAGAGTTTATTTCTAGCATCAAAGATAATCCTAAATTGTGGAGAACATATCAAACTGAAATCATCAGTACAGGATTGGAAGTCCTTCATAGACTGCATTCCTCCCCCCACTTGAGATTGCATCTGTCCCTGTCTCCCTTCTCATCTCCTGGTACCTGAGGATAATCTACTTGTCATAAGTACACCTTATTTTAAGAAGAGAAAAAGTTTTATAAGAAAACATACTCTTCATTCTGATATGGCTTTCCTGAGCCGATCTCCTGAGAGAGAGAAGCTTTAAGGTGCTCACCCTTCAGCTCTGCATGCATCTTGAGAGGTGCCCTAGAAAATGCCAGTTGCATGGTGTATGCCCATGGAAACAACAAATTCTTTCCTACTGAAATTGTGACTCCCTCTCTCTCCTCTCTTCTCTTAAATGTTTCCTTTTAAGCAAAGCTATGGTTCACTGCTACTGAAAATTAAAGACAACAGCATAAAGATCAAGGTCCAGGCTGGTACTAGCGATGACAGAACATTAAAATCACCACTCAAATTTCTCTTTATTTGAACACTAACAAAGACTCCTAATAGAAAGTCAATCCAAGAATGCACATTCATTTCATGCTTCTCCACTTGTACTTTTTGATTCACCATCTATTTTTAATAAAATGAGGAAACTGGAGGTGGCCTTCATCTGAGATGAAATGGGAGAGTTGTGATCTCAAAAATGCATATATTCTGCTGCCATAATATGAAGTATTAACAAAAAAACAAAGGGCTTTAATACAAAGGTCAGTTTGTAAGGTTGAAGAAAGAGGGAATTAACTGCCTGTCTCTTTCTCAGGATATACTTCTTGCCTCTCTGACCTCACCAAGCTTGTTCCACATCTTCTTAGCTCAAGACTGCGCTTTGACTATCTGAATCACACCTCAAATAACCCAGACTTATTCTCTGTTTGCTGAATTCACATTTTCAAGATCCTGATCCCTGTACTTTCTTGACTCCAGACTGATGATCTGGACTCATTTCCCAAATGCATGTTTGCCCGATACCTTTCAGTTGTGGTGGTTGTGTACCATTGATTCAGAACCAATCCATAGCTCACCTTCAGATTTTGAAAGGAAATTAATTGCATGGGAGGACATTTCCCATCTTCCTATCATGAAGCAGGTGGTGAATTCCAAGTATGTGCCTTTGGGTTGCCAGTGCAACTTTTTACCAGTAGGCCACTAGTTCTCTCACAAGATGGATTTTGGTAGTGCTTCTAAATTGTTTCTGCAGCATGAAACAGTAAGATAGGTTCAAGCTTTTTCTTTCTTCATGCAATGAGGAAAAACCAGAAGGATGTTGGCAAAGTGCATATGGAGCCTGTCATTAGATATCTAACACTGAAGATGCCCATAACAGGTATCTATGGTAAGCTCAGAAGACATTGAGCCACTGTGTGCCCTCCTGAGCGCTGAGTTAAACTTTCTCACAAGAGAGGTAAACAGACATAAGACAAAAAAAAAGGAAGAAAGAAAACTTTAGGTGACCTAATTTCTTTTCCTCTTTTTTAGGATCTTGGACACTAACATGCATGGAATTCAGACTCATGAAAAACAGCCACATCAACTTGCTATGGTGACTCAAAAGTTGTCATTTCTCAACGCAACTTTGCTGAAACACTTGATTCATGTTGTTCTTATTTAACCTAATTTGCATTGATTTAATCAGTGCTGGTATGCTTTAAATACATAATAAATCGAGATTCTGCAACTTAGATGACTTAGAACAGCTAAATTTCAATAAAGCTCATTTCAATCTGTTAATGTATACAGTTCTGCCAAGGGGTTTAAAGCTGTAGGAAAGATGCAAACTTGCCACATTAGAGGTGGGAAAGACTTAATGATGCCATTGAGATGAAATAATTTATAGGATAATAATGTGAACAACTCTGTGTATGTGTGTGTGTTGATTACAGCCTAGAAACATCTTCTAAGTTTTGAATAGCATACTTAGAGGAAAACTCACATATAAAACCAATAAATTTCCTTTTATTCTTTTCATTCTTGCCAGCATTCAACTCTTTCCTGCCTCTCTGTACCAGCTCTACAAATCAAGTGGCATCCAAAGTGGGCGCTCTCCTTGCCCATTTGGCAGCCTCTGCCACCACTTTGCCAAGCCTCCTGCATTGGGAGGATTTTCTTCCTAGCAGCCATGGGGATTGGGTGACTGGTCCTTACAATGTGTGCTGAATGGCTGGCCATGATTGACTCCTGTTCATCCCCCTCCCCACAACAAAACCTTTTAGAGTTTATGGCTCAATCAGCCGGCCTGCTGGCAGGAATAACTGCATTGGCAAGAGGTGAAATCATTTGATGGTGAAATTATCTGTTAAAGTGTTCCACAGCACCTCAGAGGTGCCAGGATGGAGCCTGCAGGTGCTAGGTAGGTCCAGAGTTAGGAAGAAAGAGTGATGGAGAGGCACACATCAAGTGGGTAAGGGAAGAGCATAGGGAAGGAACACCCCAAAATGCATCTGTTCCAGTAGGTGTGTGACCTTAGATGATCCCCATGTCCCTTGGCCTCAGTTTCGTCATGGACAAAGCTAAAGGAGTCGATTTTCTAATGTCTCTTCTAGCTCTGAAGACAGCATGTGATGTCTAGAACATTTCAGATTTGTGTTCCTTCCAATTAAATGATGCACCTCAGAGATGAATGACCAGGGTATAGCTCGGATGAATACAAAATGCAGTGATTCATGCCTTTGTTTATATGACTTTTCCTGAAAAGAACCTCCAGTCTTTGGTGACTACAGTCCACTGGTCGATCTCTTAGGTTTGACTGCTGAGAAACAACTAGTTCTTATCTGAAATCAGCCAAACCTGGGGGCTGTGATCATCCATCTTAAATTCCTATCAAAATTTATGCCACTCCAGATAATGCCCACTTATTTCTGATTTGAGGCAGAAGTGATGGGAGGTCAGAAAAGAGCTACTACAGGTTCACATTTGATCCTTCCTGCCATCTCCTTGGGCATCTGTGTGTGACAAGACGGGAAGTTTAGCCAGACTCACTCTTCCTAGGACCTAGGTTTCTCAGCCTTATTTGAGGATATCCTTTTTTTTTTTTAATAGAGAATTTACAGATACCTCCCCTTAGCAATGCAGCCCCTGCCCCTCCCCCAGCTGGAAGGAGGAGAGAATTCCTGCCTACAAATGATTGTGCAAGAGAATAATCAGATGTCAGATAAAGGCTGCTAGTCATACTCTGATAAAAGGTAGTGCAATTTACTCTAATGTCAAAGTTTAATTAGGGATATGTGTATGGAAAGGAGTAGGCTTCATCACCGTTCCATACACCCTTTCCCTATTAAATCTCTTCTGAAGTAGGTGTATTGCAAGGCACAGGCTTCATCATCACCCTCACAAGTCAGGGTCAACCCCCTCACCCCGCGTTCTAGGACACAATCTCAATCTCGCTTTAATCCGAGGGGCAACTATGACTCTCTGGACAGTGATGAAGCCCTCGTGGGGTCTTCGTCAAGCCTCCCTGGGCACAAACACCCTTTCCTGCCATTCTGGGTCTCACCCACAGGGACAGAGATGGCTTCCCAAGCTGGCTGAGTTTGGAGCGCATTCCCCTCTCCACCCATCCAGTAGAAAGGGCTGGCCAAGGAATCCTTGTGCCCACAGGGGGGAAAAAAACCCCAACCAACAAAACCCAAACAATCTTTGCCAAGCCACCAAAGATCGCCTTCCTGTATCTCCTCTCAAGTTGCTTTTCTAAAGCAAAGGACTAAATGTGGCTTTCTCTACAGATTCCTATGTATCTCTTACACATAGACAGCTTTAAAGGAGGCAAGAAATAAGCTGAGAGGGAAGAGGGGAGAGAACAAGCTATTTCAGTTTCTCACTTGGAAATATCTCCTCGTTGATGCTGCTAACCCTACCTCCACCTCCTCCCCTTTTTGAAAAATGGACCCAAAAGCTCGAAGTGTTTTCCATTTCATCAAAGAACATATATTACTTTAGTGGTTGGGTAAAATGTTGGTTTTCTGCCCACCCCTTTTCAATCTGCCCGTGTCTAAGGCGCTGGGGAGACGCGCGATCGTGAGGAGCTTACGACACTCCGTGAGCAGAAGGTGCTTGTGCAGCCTCGCTCCGCGCTCCGCGCCCTGCGCCCCGCGCCCTGCGCCCCGCTCCCCGCGCCCCGCAGCCGCCCGGCGCGAATGGCAGACAGCCTCGGCCCAGGGACAGGGGGCGCCGCTCGGGGGTCGTTTCCGATGACGGACATTAGCCAGACAGTTAGATCCTGGGGAGTTGCAAGCCCCGAGTTTGGACTTTTTCCCCCCACCACCACGTCACAGTCCGAACTGCAGAGGGGAAGGACGGCGGCAGGAAGGCGAAGCCCGGGCTCCGGCACGGAGTTGGGAAACTTGCAGGTCCTGGAAACCGCCTGGCCAGCTCGCTCGCCGGCCGCCCGCGCCGCCCCGAGCCCGGCTGCAAAGTGAGCCATTGTGCGCCTGCCAGATCCGCCGGCCGAGGCCGGGCCGCCGCGGAAACAGAGGGGTCTTCTCTCGTCCTGCATATAATTAGCCTGCACACAAAGGGAGCAGCTGAATGGAGGTTGTCACTCTCTGGAAAAGGGTGGGTAAGACACTTTTTCATTAAATTCTTTCGCGAAGATCTCTTCCCCCTCCCCTTTCCTTGCTGCGGCATCTACCATGGACCAAATCGCCATCTCTTTGATGTTTTGGTAGCTGTGAACTTTGCGTGCCGCCCAGCTCTCTGCATGCTTAGAGGTGAATGCGTGGCTCTGGGGAGGGGGTCCATGGTTCCTTCTATGTATTTATTTGCTGTTTGCCCTTTTCTCCCCCTCCCCCTCCCTCGGAATAAAATACGATGTAGATTTCTGACCGAGCGCTTCCGATGGACATTCTCCAGCCTCTCTGGAAAGATTCTCGCTAATGGATTTCCTGCCGCTCGGTCTCTGTCTACACTGGCTGCTGAGGAGGCCCTCGGGGGTGGTCTTGTGTCTGCTGGGGGCCTGCTTTCAGATGCTGCCCGCCGCCCCCAGCGGGTGCCCGCGGCTGTGCCGGTGCGACGGGCGGCTGCTGTACTGCGAGGCGCTCAATCTCACCGAGGTGCCCCACAACCTGTCGGGCCTGCTCGGCTTGTCCCTGCGCCACAACCACCTCCCGGAGCTGCGCGCCGGCCAGTTCGCCGGGTTAATGCAGCTCACGTGGCTCTATCTGGATCACAACCACATCTACACGGTGCAGGGGGACACCTTTCAGAAACTGCGTCGAGTTAAGGAACTCACGCTGAGTTCCAACCAGATCACCCAGCTGGCCAACACTACCTTCCGGCCTATGCCCAACCTGCGCAGCGTGGACCTCTCGTACAACAAGCTGCAGGCGCTCGCGCCGGACCTCTTCCACGGGCTGCGGAAGCTCACCACGCTGCACATGCGGGCCAACGCCATCCAGTTCGTGCCCGTGCGCATCTTTCAGGACTGCCGCAGCCTCAAGTTTCTCGACATTGGATACAATCAGCTCAAGAGCCTGGCGCGCAACTCTTTCGCTGGCCTGTTCAAGCTCACCGAGCTGCATCTGGAGCACAACGACTTGGTCAAGGTGAACTTGGCCCACTTCCCGCGCCTCATCTCCCTGCACTCGCTCTGCCTGCGTAGGAACAAGGTGGCCATCGTGGTCAGTTCCTTGGATTGGGTGTGGAACCTGGAGAAAATGGACCTGTCGGGCAACGAGATCGAGTACATGGAGCCCCATGTGTTCGAGACCGTGCCCTACCTGCAGTCCCTGCAGCTGGACTCCAACCGCCTCACCTACGTCGAGCCCCGCATCCTCAACTCCTGGAAGTCACTGACTAGCATCACCTTAGCCGGAAACCTGTGGGATTGCGGGCGCAACGTGTGCGCCCTAGCGTCGTGGCTCAGCAGCTTCCAGGGGCGCTACGATGGCAACTTGCAGTGCGCCAGCCCCGAGTACGCACAGGGTGAGGACGTCCTAGACGCCGTGTATGCCTTCCACCTGTGTGAAGATGGGGCTGAGCCCACCAGCGGCCACCTGCTCTCGACTGTCACCAACCGCAGTGACCAGGGCCCCCCCGCCGGCCCAGTCACCACGCTGGTGGACGGCCGGGAGGCACAGCCCGACGGCACGCTGGAGCCAGCCACCGTGGCTTTGCCTGGTGAGCACGCTGAGAACGCAGTCCAGATCCACAAGGTAGTCACGGGCACCATGGCCCTCATCTTTTCCTTCCTCATTGTGGTCCTGGTACTTTACGTCTCCTGGAAGTGTTTCCCAGCTAGCCTCAGGCAGCTCAGACAGTGCTTTGTCATGCAGCGCAGAAAGCAGAAGCAGAAACAGAGCATGCATCAGATGGCTGCCATGTCTGCCCAGGAATACTACGTTGATTACAAACCCAACCACATCGAGGGAGCCCTGGTCATCATCAACGAGTATGGCTCCTGTACCTGTCACCAGCAGCCCGCAAGGGAATGCGAGGTGTGATCTGCCCAGCGCTGGAGACCCTTGCACTCCCCAATCCGACCAGCAGCCATGGGCCATGCACTCTTGGCTGGGGCCTCCGGGTCTGCACTCCTTGACTGAAACTGTAAGGGGATCGCTCCCAGAGACTCAACATTTTAGCTTTATTGTGTCTTAAACAAACAAACAAACAAACAAACAAACAAAAAACCCAACACAAATAAAACACAACAGAACCCTACCCCACCACCTTCAGGACAGTCTGTCTTAAATTTCCCAGGAGAACTCCTTCCTCCCTTTGAAGATCTGTCCATATTCAGGAATCTGAGAGTGTAAAAGGTACCAATCATTGATTTTTTTTTTGTAAACTAAAAATGTTTAAAATAAAATAGCATTTACAGTTTTTACAGACTGGTGTAACCTAAATGAATGTCTGTGTTACAAGAGGAATAACCGTTAAAATATGCCCTTTCTTGGAGGGATCTAGCAGCCAGAGGGAAAATCCAGCAGCAAAGTAGGCAGATTCAATATGGAATTTTAAGAAGGGCAAAATAGCTTATCATTGTACTGGTCCAGGTGCCTTTAGCCCACATGAAAAAGCAAGGGAGAATTTGCAAGCCCTTTTATATTCTTATTAGGTTGTGGGGTCAGCACAAGATAGCCACTTGAAAGTAGAAAGATGACTGAGGACTGAGTATCAAACAGTTTATAAGGCAGAGAATACTGCCAGTGATTTTCTAAAAGACAAGAAAACCTTTTCTAATATACTGTAGTCATCTTTCAAATCAATCTGAAAATCTCACCCCAAATGCTACGTGTTCATAATATTCTTATGTCCCTTGGTTCACTGGACTTGGCAGCCCTTGTGCACTTTTCCATAGCCTCCCTTGTGAGTAAGAGTCCCCTTCCCCTCCCTGTGCTCCTTAGTCTAGATGAAGGGGCAAGGCAGAATCTGAATGTGCAGAGATGAGAGCTGTGCCTCTGGAGGACATTGCTAAGACTGCAGCAAGCAAGCTCAAGCACATTCCTAGTTAGAAGGGAAAATGCTCCCTAGGAGGTAGGGAGAAAGGCCCGCAGGAGGAGACATCAGAGTCAGATAAGATCTAGTGGGAGGCTGTATCACCATCTGATAACATTCTTTAATATCTCTGAATCTAGAAATTATAAATGGTCCTAATGACTAGTGAGCATTTGGTAGGACATGAGAGAAAAGCTACTTCATTGGAGATTGCACTTTCCTGTAATGCTTGCTTTTCCTCTGTGTGTGTGTGTGTGTGTGTGTGTGTGTGTGTGTGTGTGTGTATGTGTGTTATTTTAACAGTATTCAGAGCAAGGATTACCCCTTCCCATCTCCCCAGGTTTCAAGCTCCATTACTGAGATTTGGGTGGTTCATTGAATTAAGGGAGTGAGGAGGTGGTGGTAGTAGCAGGTGGTGGAAGTGGGTGAGGAGGAAGGGGGAGGAGTATGTGTCAAAAGGGAGGGGTCCTGCACTAGCTGACAATTAAGCAAATGCATGATTGAAACAAATTCTCATGGATGGCAGATGGTAAGAAGTGAAGCCCATGTCCAGACAGTCTTTCTCAAATCTCAGGTGTTATCTTTTGAAAGGTACTAGAAACTAGTTCCATAGGATCTTTTTTTTGGTCTTAAAGAAAGAGGTCCCTGAAGCAGGAGGAGGATTGGGGAAGATCATTCACCTGTAAACCTAAAGAGATAAAGTCAGCTTTTTGAAATGTAGAATGGTACCAGCAGGCGGTTTACTTAAACTGGGGATTGGCAATAGGTTTTGCTTCAATGTATGCAGAAGCCAATATGCCTAAAAATGTTGCTTTGAAAAGCTCTTTAATTACAATATTTTGTAGATGTTTTAAGATATCCAGTCTAGGATGAAAACCTCTTTGAAACACACACACACACACACACACCAGCTAAACTTTATCCTATGTAGTTACAACATAATATAATTAACACACAAAGTTATGACACACATCATGCACATAACACAATTCAGACTGCTAATGAAAGAAGTGCTTTGTTTGGTAATTTTGAGGAGGGGGCTTTGGATTTATTCTAAGCCTGATAATTTGGGGTTGCTATTTTTAACAAGTATATCCATTTGAGAGTGTCAAATAATAGCAGGAACAAGGTTTGAAGAACTGTGTCTCTCTGTAATTTAATCTCACCAAAGAGTTCTCCTACTTAGGAGTATTTTTTAGGGTGTTTTGTGTTTTTGTTTTTTTTAAAAGAAAAATCTCCAAATAGGAGATAGTTGAAGAATGGCTCATAGATTCCATTGCTTTAACCTTCTCGCAGGAAGGCTCAGTACCACTCTGGATATGGGCATTAAGGATTATTTTGGTGTGCTTTCAGGGAGAACTTCTAGAAGTCAAGATTTTCTGTTGGCCATCAAAACTATAGGCTCCATTGCCATCACCACCACCCAGGAAAAAGTGTCCAAAACTCTAGACTTTATCACCTGCTCACAAAGACCTTTTGCTTTTTCAAAGTGGCCATGAAAAAACAGAAGAATGCTGTCATTTTTTATGATGGTACTCCCCACATACAGCTGGACACCATGTGTTCTTGTGTCCACCTAAATCTAGTGCAGGAACCTGAAGAGGCTGCCAAAACCTGTGTCCTAATTGTGTGTGTATGCTCATATCTGTGCAATGTGTCTGTGTGGGCACGCACCTATGTGCTCTCCACAGAGGGATTTAGCTCAGATCATTTCATGTTCATGAATCTCTGTGGAGAATTGTGAGGTGGAGAAAAGCTATGAAAGGGGATGGGGTAGCTTTAACTAAGGTTTTGTGACACTTGGCATTATTTTTCTCTTCTCAACTCAATTAATCTTTAACTTTATGAAACTTGCTCTGACCCCTGTAAGCAAACTACAGAGCAGATCAAAGGGAAACTCAATTTTAAAGGTGTAGCACCTTTTTCTGCTGTTGTTCTTCCCACAGAGGGTGCTAATCTCATTATCCAGTGCTATCTGGAAAGAATTTAAAGCCTCAATTCACGTCTAGGGCACTGTGATGGATTAACCCTCCATTTGCAGTACCTTCCTAGCTGATTAAAGTTCAGCAATGGTATTGAGGTTTTTCGAATATTTATACAGAAAAAAAAGGCTTTTTGAAAGACAAATGACATGCTCACACCAGTTTGAGCCCTGGTAGATTTTTAAGTTGTGCCAGATGGAGCAGAAGAGATAAAATCCATCCTCTGGTCTGACTCAGAGAAACTGCAGCCCCTGACATGGCCTTGCTTCTGCTACATGACAGACCACACACCCCACAAGGTACCCATGCTCCCAAGTGGATACAGTTGCCATCTCATAGACAAGGCTATTCCAGCGAAGGGAAGCATTTAAAAGAGCTGTTTTTTCTATCTTCCAAGCTCCTCAAAGCGTTAGAATGCTTACTTTTTCTCCCTGCCTCCAGGAAGGCAGACATTTGGCAGAACTTAGAACCAATGACAAACTTGTGTCCGTAATTAGAAGGTAAGACGCCACTCGCTGTTCCTCTGCAGGTTCCTGAGCAACTGCACAGAGGTTACAGAAAGGATGAGGGGCTGCCTTGATTTTTGGGTTCCAGTAATTGACTTGTTGGCAGGTTTGCTGACTATTCTGTTACCTGACCTGGTCATATAGAAGGAGTTAGTGTTGGCTCCTCAGAGAGTCTGCTCACAGCATTATAAGACTAGGATTTATGTATGCCTAGAGAGTGGGTATCCTCACAGTGCAGGAAAAGAAAAATATTTGTCTCTGCATGGGTGCTCATTTTGGTTGGCTTGGGTTTGCCACTGATGGAAGTCTAGGTAAGAAAGAATTAACTAACATGTGGCAAATTAAGCAGGCTCTCGAAACACAATTTGAGGGAAGTTATATCCTTGCACACGATCCCTGGTAGTGCAGTGAGTTAAGATTTTGGTTGTTAACTGAAAGATCACTAGTTCAAACCCACCAGCCACTCCACAGGAGAAAAAAGAGGCAATATGAGCCATAAAGATTCTAAGGAAGCTCTGATGACTTAGTGGTAAGCTGTTGTGTTGCCAATCCAAAGGAATACGGTTTGAATCCCATAGCTGCTCTGAAGGAGAAAGAGGAACAATTTCCTCCAGTGTGACTTACTGTCTCTGAAAACCTGCTAGAAAGTCAACCATGGGTTTGTTCTGAGTCCACGGTAGACGACTCATAGCGACTCTATGAACAAAAATCTGAGCACTTATATAACTTTCAACATTTCTCCAAGTTCATTGTGTTTCTCAAGGCTAACTACTATGGAAGTGGGTGCCACTTCTGCTTCCAAGGCTGTTTTAATCCAGGAGTTCCATCAAACACTGTCCACCATGGGTGACCATTCTCCCATTTGACACATCAGTGTCACAGTGTTTAGCTTCACAGCAAGCACGAGTTACTTGGGCACAGCAAATAGACCAGTGCTGTATCACTTAAAAGAATGTTTGACCAAAAAGAATTCAAACTAGCCCTGAGGGCAGCAGGTTAAAATCACCCGCCTTTGGCTTGGTAACATAACATTCTATCCACTAGGCCAACAGAGCAAGTGTCCAAGTCTTTCGTTAATAAGGTCTATGCTACACAACAAAAACAACAACAAAGATTTATAGCCTCAAAAATCCAATGGGATTGTTCTAATCTGTCTTACAGAGTCAATATGAGTTACCAGAATCTACTTAATAGCAGTCAGTGTGTTTTGCTTTTAGTATATGCCTGTACACACACACACATACACCCCCCAAACATGCGTCCACCTGCACATCACTGCATACACACTCAACTATATCACATGGTGGCCCTCTAGCATTTAATTGTCCTCGTACTGTCTCCTCTCAGGAAGTCTCTACTAAAGCCAGTCACAATTGATCTGTAAAGCAGTGATCATGGCCACCTCTGTCCAGGCCTTGGTGGCTCTTCAACAGTCCTGGGGACCTTCTGGACCCCTCAGGTTATGCACCACTATGCCTGTTGTCCCTGGGGACAACCAGTAAATGGCAGTGTGTATAT